GCTGAAAGAAATGGCAACCTACTAGGGTAAAATCTCCTGCCTAGTCAGTCATGAATCGAAAAAGACATGATCGCCTAAGCGGGTATGGCACTTAACTGACTTGCTGGTTCTCGCTCTATTCTTATCACTTCTTTATGTTGGTGTAATCAAGAAGCCTCAATATATAGACATGTTTAGCAAACAAGCCGAGTTGTGCTGTTGTGAAGGATATAAATGTTTGTTTTGGCGTCAAACAGTGCTTAATAAGCTAACCTAACAGACTATATAAGTAATGAGTTTTTTTTTCTTTACTTTGTGCTTTATATTCATGGCCTTTTGCCAGATCAATCAATTATTATTATAAACTGCCCTCAAATTAGTTACATTACGTTAAGAGTCGTTCCATTGTCCTGCAATCTTTAAGCGATTATGGTGGTTAATGAGTTTGATTAGTTTTTGTATATTTACGATAATAGATAATCTTCTTTTATGTGATCTGTCCCTTTAGCATGTGGGCGGTCATGGCTGTCCACAATTTCCGATCCTTTATAATCTTTTAGCTATCTTCTCCCCTTCCTATCTCTTCCAGTCCTTGAACTGCCATCCATTTACGCAAGCTCGTTAGGTAAGTTAATCCACGTTTCGCTCTGTTCCTCTTGCCTTCAGTGTGTCCTATGAGCGTCAAATTCTCCAAGCCTTCTTTCCTCATTATGCGTCCAAGAAATGTCCATTTTCTCTTTCTGATTCTAAGTATAAACGTCCTTTATATTACAATTTTCTTTAAAACTTCCTCGTTACTCATATGTTCCATCCATAGTATTCTCAGTATCCTCCTGTAAAACCATATCTTCGTTGTCTCAAGTCCTCACTTCATGTGAAGAAATTGTCCCGCATACACTGCTATATTGGAAGATTGATATTGCATAGCTTTTAATCACCCTTCACTTTGTTTCTATCAAACTTATCCTGTTTCTTAATGTTTTCTTTAGCATTTAGAAGGGATCTCGCATAATAAGGAAAGAGGTCTTGGAAAATTTGATACTCACAGGACAGACTGAAGACAGAGGAAAGCAACGAGTAACTTACGTGGCGAGTGAATGGATGACGGAGCTGGGGTTGGGAGAGATGTTACAGTTGATATGGCAAGATGTAACCGTAAGTTCTATGCTAACAGTTTCTTCTCTCGCACTTTTTGCTTGCGAAGATCTCTTCCGACTTCTTGATTCACAGTCAAATTTGATCTCCAAAAATGTAAATGCAACGTCAATTGCTATCTTCTGTCTTAATTCATGTTCTTTTATAGTTCTTGATCATTAATGTTTTTCTTTTTCTTATTCTTTCACACTTAATAACTGCTTGTGTCTTAGTGGCTTTATTGCCTTGCTTGGGGTGAAATGATATTTTAAATCTAGTTTTTTTCAAATGGATGTTAGAATAGGGCCTAGAACTGATAGTAAGTAAACAAATGTTATTTAGAGCTACAAAGTAAAAGAATTTGGTAACGTATTGACTGTGAGTTCAATTCCAGGACTGGATAGTGGAGGCTTAGAATTCAATGAAAACAAGACAATCATTCATTGTAATAAATACGAACAAAGATATCTCTAGACATGGAAAATGAAACTAGAATACTTCATTACCGTAGATTAAATAAAGGGTGCAGTCCGAAATTCCTAGAATGTTCCTCGGATCGATAAGCATCTAATAAAGGTCTACAACAAGGATGAGTACAATAATGTAAATAAAGAATAGGAAGTTGTGGAGGGCCATGATTGCCAACGGAACACAGTTCATAAAAGAAGATCATTATGTACAGAAAATATGGCTCTTAATCATTCAATGAATAATTACCATGATTTCACAATTTAGCCTAATTAATAGTCTTAGTATTGTTGGTTTTATCGCTACGTTTCGGCCGATGCATTCTTTAGCCTTCCTGACTGAAAATTTGAACTGAGTCTTTTACATTATTTTAAGAGACTTTCGGGCATTTTTTTTTTATTTTGTACACATTTCTTCTAAAAGTTAGTCTGTTGCAAAATGCAATTTACAGCCTTCAAGCTTGGGACATACAAGTTCGTTATTGTAGATGATTACTATTCCACAGGTGCTAGATGAGAAGACCTACATTTGAAATACAGACAGGCACTTCCTGCTCGGAAGACTGGCGCAAAGCAATCTTCCAACTTACTTTCCTTTAATTGACTCTACGACCAGAAATAGTTAAGAAACTGTTAACAAGACAATGAGTCAGAGCAAGTTGTTGCTATGACGACGAACCAAGTCAAGGAGATCAGCTATAGTCGATTATTTTAGGTCTTCCTACTGATTCACCATCGGGAAACTTTCTCTCAGACCAACAGGGGAAAACACGCTGAAAATAATAGCGATAATTAGTTTAAAAAACGTTCAGTGCAGCACCAGGGAATCCGCTAAAAATATGGATGACAAGAATGAAAAGAAATTATCCACTGCCGTTTTTATAATTACTATTAAGTCACCTGCTGCATATAACATCGCAAACTTGAATGTTTTCCTTCTGCCCGTCGTAAGTTAACTTGGAAAAACAAAAAAAAAAAGAAATAAATAAATACTAACTACTGAATTTCAAATGCAGAGATTAAAAGCGTGACTGTGAGATGATAATCTTTAAAATGACCATCTGGTAAGCTGCTTAGTCACGACTGTGCATCGTGAATTTCACTCGAGCCCAGAGACAGTCACAAAAAAAACCGTATTTTTAAACTAGCAATAATCTTAATTCGTCCTCTTCATTAATTGGTTCCAAAAGCCATGACGTAATCTGGTAAACTGGATGTATTTATTTTTCAACGCGCCCACGTCGCTACCGAATGGGACACAAGGTCAAGGTTTAAAGTGGGCCTTCACAGCAATACCGTGGTATTTCCCCTTTTGAGGACGCCTCAGGCCCCGGGCAATAAACGCAGCACCCTCCCCGAAGGAGAGATACTGCCTGGAGGGAAATCTGTCTGAGGCATAGACTTAATATTTTTTTTAAATAACCTCGCATTGTTTTCCCGCAGGAGGTTGCCAATTCTTTCTGCGGCAGGCCAGTTGCAATCCAAGGCTATAGAACCCGGTCTGTCCTGCTATTTACCCATAACTAGGGGGAAAAGAAGATTCATACCTTTTCCATTAACGTGTAATACCCTTGGGAAAGGTATGAATCCTCTTCTCCTTTAGCTATGGGTAAATAGCAGGACAGACTGGGTTCTCTAGCCTTGGATGGCAACTGGTCTACCGCAGAAAGAAATGGCAAACTACAGTGAGAAAAAACCTGCCTCGTCAGTCATGTATCGAAAGATACATGATCACCTAAGCGTGCATCCTGCATGGCACATAACTGATAGGATTTCACCTGTACCAGTTAAATAAGCTGGAGTCCATAAAACTAGCGAAAATAACACGCAAAAGAATGCAACTATCATGATTAAAAACACATTTTAGTTTTGTTTTTAAAGAGTAATGAACGCAAAAAAATGATGCTATTTACCTTATGACTTGTCTTAAAATGCTTTAAGGAAAACGACAAACATCTTAAAATTAACGCAAACAATACTCGGAAGAATTTAAATGTCGTTTTGTTCATTAAAAAAATAACTTCTTTTAATTGTTAATTTTTATTTATTTTAAATCTATTTTTGAGAGAAAATGTATTTATTTTATGTCCTTTTATTTTGACGTAGGTGACAACTGTCCAAGCCGAAGAAACTGGCACCTTATGACCATCTGCTTCGGATAGATGAATGTCGACAACCCAGGAAGATACTCAATCTAAGGGAAGGAAAAGCCTGATTTTAAACCTCCACTACTTTGTATTCATACCCAAACGTGGAAAAGGCTATGGAAATAAATCCAGACAGAAAAGCTGAAGTGAAATTCCGAAGACTGTTGTCTGTCAACACTGACAATTTTCCGATACCTCCTGCAGCCAAACCGTCCCCAAATGTAATACCCTTTATTCCTTTGGATTTGTCGGTATGGCCAAGAGGAGTAGGGGCATGTAGTACGGGCAACGCACGGCCTCCATACACCATCGCCCAGGCCTGTGCTCTGGAAAGGTCACTCCAGTTTCACCATCAAAGGAATTAATTTTGACCAAACATGGCGCTACGTTTATCTGGCAATATAAACGGATACTTACTAGGTGACGTTGCTTACTATCGTAATGAGATTCGCTGAACTGAAACTTATTCTAGAAAAGTGGCGTAATGTGAAATTTGACGCCGGCCAAAATAGTGTCAAACTGAGTATTTATTTATTCATTTATTCAGTTAGCGCATATTGCGCCGCCGTTTTGGTCACCACTCCCCTCTATCTCACAATTGGGTTCATGGTGACATTCAAATCAAAATAGTGCAATGACTTGACGGTTCCTTTTGCATCGGAGATGTTGACGTTATCTCATTTCTCCTCTCAGAGGTTCCTCCGCCCACTGGTAAAGCCGTTGACCCCTGGGGTTCAGTTCTTATGCTCAGGCTTGGTACAGTTGGGTTGAGAAGAAGTGTTCCCTTTTAACACTCGGCTCGGGAAACCCTTCTGACTACCCTCACGCAATTTAACCGATAGGTCGATACTGCTGCCCGGGGTGTGGCCGTCGCAATGCTCATGTGTGTGAGTTGGATGTAGGCCGTGGACCAGTACAGTTACGCAATCAAATTCACCTGAGTAAACGGCGTTACTGTAAATGCCTTCCACGTGCGCTTATCCAACGGGTCCTGAGCATTACATAGCATGACCACGTTCCCAACAAATCCATCCTGGCACAGATGGGCATACCAATCATGTGTGCCTTGCACACTCAGAGGCGCCTACGCTGTCTCGGCCATGTCATCCGCATGGAAAATGGTCCCAAAGGATATGTTCCACACCGAATTGGCTACTGGCTCCATACATGCAGGAAGGCGACTCCTTCACTACAAGGATGTGTGCAAGCGCGACATGAAGGCAGGGGGTATTAATCCAGCTGGTTGGAAAGCCGTTGCTGATGCTTGAGACAAATGGAGGGAGTCAGTCGGGAAGAGCACGCAGCTGAGCAAGAGGCTGAGAGAGGATCAATGGGAGGCGAAGAGAACCCGCAGACGTTAACGACAGATGAATCGACGCACGGCGTAACTCTCATTGTCCTTCGGGACAAAACAAGGCCGAAGAATGATGACTGTATATATAAAATACGATGTGACTTTAAATATAATGACAGGAAATAAAAGGTTACAGTTTACTCAAAATTAAATGTACAGCTAATATAGTCTACAACCACATCGCGTTGAATACATCAGTTCTCGTCTGATCACCGAAGTTAGACAATTTCGATCCTGGGAAACCGCTTGGGAATACCATGTTCCGTAAGTTTAGTGAATGTTGGACAACCTCCTTACAGATGAAGAGAAAACTGGGGCAACCAAAATGTGGTTCTACAGAAGGATGCTGAGGATACCATGGGCGGAGCGTTCAAGCAACAAAGATGTCTTACGGAAAATGGAAACAAAAAGGATACATACTCAGGTTCAGAAAGAGACAAGTGAAATTTCTTGGACACATAATGAGGAAGGAGAGCTTAGAGACATATTGAAGGAAAAAAGGGCCAAGGGTAGGCAGTAGGCCATCTACTTGACGAGCAAATGGATGACAAAACATGGATTTGATTTGATTTTCCGAATCTACTGTCAAATTTTGTCTCCTGAATTTATGCTTAAATTTGATTTCCTGAATCTATAGCAAGATCCGTGACCTTATGATTGGATTGGATGTTCTGAATCTATGGTTATTGATCTGTCGAATCTATTCTGAGATCAGATCTTCTGAATCCACGGTTAAATTGGATGTTCTGAATCTATGGTTACATTTGATTTTATAAATCTATGGTTAGAGTTGATCTTCGGAAGCTATGGTTAAGATTGATTTTCAGAATCTGTGGTTTGATATGGTTTTCTTATTTTATTGCTAGGTTTGATCTTCTGAATCTGTTTAGATTTGATCTTGCAAGTTGGAATGGATTTTCTAAATTTATTGTTATTGATTTTCCGAGTCTGTCAGATTTTATCTCCTGAATCTATCATTAAATTTGATCTTCTAAATCTATGGTTATACTTGATCTCATTTTGATTCGATCTCCCAAATCCATAGTTAGATTAGATCTTTTGCCTTAGTACCAAGTGAATATATGGAGCCTCAGGTTAAATTCAAAAGATGTTCACTAATTTCGGATTTCATTCTGGTGTGTGCTGCATAACCTTGCACGCATATATATATATATATATATATATATATATATATATATATATATATACACATTTATCCATCCATCAACACGTACATCTAGTAGGTCGCCAGTTACCTAACTATGCAAGTTTGTTCATATCTATCGATCTGTATTTTCCTATGTATCTTTGTTCATTACTATCTCTCTCTATCTCAGTCTGTTCATATCTATCTAGTTAACTTAGTTGATTCAAATCTATCTCTCTATCACAGTCTATTCAAACCACTCTCTTCTTCCCATATATATATATATAGATAGATAGATAGATAGATAGATATGAATAAATATACTCTTAAGATGTGCTATATTTATGGGATAATGTGCTCAATAACAGAGACAGAGTGTGTGTAAATATAAAAGTGAACATTGAAGTCAACACTTAGAGGCAACAGGCTGTTTCATGCTAGACGCAATCGTCAAGCCATGAAACAGCCTGTCGCCTCTAAGTTTTGACTTCAATTTTCACTATATATATATATATATATATATATATATATATATATATATATATATATATAGCTCTTCCGTCATTAATCGACGCGGGCTGTTGACCCACACTTACTGGGGAGTCTTTTACGACATATGAGGGCCATGCACCTCAGTTCATAAGAGCCGACAGCCAGACATCCTGCACATATGATTTGATTATCGTGGTGAAGGTTTTGTGCAGAACCAATCACACTTTTTGAAGGGCCGAATACAGAGACCTAGTGCACCGTGTGCCACAAGGTCCTCAAACGACCCTCCGCAGCTAATACATGCTAACAACCTTTGGAAAGGTGTATATATATATATATATATATATATATATATATATATATATATATATATATATATATATATTTCAGTGTCTTCATATCTATCCCAATTTATTCAAATTTATATATTGATCTGTCCCAGTCTATTCAAATCTATCTATATATCATCTATCTATCTCTCTCTCTCTATCTATCTATCTATCTGTCTATCTCATTCTGCCCATTATCAATATTAGTCTGTTCATATATATATATATATATATATATATGAAGAAATATAGTCTTAAGATGTGCTATATTAATGGGATAAAGTGCTCAATATCAGAGATAGAGCGTGTGTAAATATAAAAGTGAACATAGACGTCTCCTCCAAGGAGAAAAATAACAGCACTCGTGGCCTGACGATTGCATCTAGCATAAAACAGACTGTCGCCTCTAAATGTTGACTTCTATGTTCACTTTTATATATATATATATATATATATATATTAATTGATTTAAAATGCGTTTTTTCGCTACACAGTTCTAACCATGTTTCAAAAATGGAAGCTAAAAGCCTCGAATTTAATTTTTGTAATTAAATTAAAGACATTAGTTCCATTTCATACTCAAGTGAATTTTGGAGTAACTTTTAAAATTACTGGGTTTTAAAGACACAGCTAAAATCATAATTCACGTTTCCAAGGTTACAGATAAAACCACTTTTACTAGACTAGGGGTTTCTGCGTGTTCATTATGGCTGTATTTTGATGCATCAGTTATTAGTTACGTTTTGGTAGGGGTAGGGATGTATTTTTCAATGAATTCTGACATCCATTAAATGCATGTCGTCTGGATTTTTTTAAATTTTATTGTTAACGGCAAAAATTCTTACGGCATTTTTTTTCTATTTGTATATTTATTTGGGGGTTGTTTAGGTTAGAATACGTTTTATTTAACTACGATTTGAAATATTTTCACTTTTAATTTTTAATATACTATATTTCTTTTAAGAACAATTAAATGTAATTAGAATCCCTTACAGTATGTAGAATTATTTTCACATCAAGTATAAATATGTAAATTATTAGGTTACAATTTTTTTTATATTTAAATATTATTTAAGTAAAATTTATGACAATGACGGCAAAAATAGCTACTTAATTTCACTGATTTAGCAAACTTTTATTTTTTATATAAACCTAGTAATATATTTTTTTCATGAAAGTACAAAGGACATGGGTCATTCAAAAGCTTACATCTTCTAGCATTACATATTAATTTCATTTTACTGTAGGTGTTTTATTTGATTCTTTTAATTGCGTGTAGTACTAAGAGGGAGGTCTTTAGGTTAGAAAACGTTTTATTTAATTACAATTTAAAAGAAGTTTAGGTTAGAATTCATTTTATTTAACTACAATTTTAATTACAACTTTAAAATATTTTCATTGTTAGTTTTAATAGACTATATTTCTTTTTAATAGAAGTAAATGTATTAGAATTACTTACAGTAAGTAAAATTATTTTTCCATATCAAGTATATGTATATTACGATTTTTAAAATTTTATATTTAAATATTATTTAAGTAAAATTTATGGCACTTACGGCAAAAATAGCTAATTCATTTCTCTGATTTAGTAAACTTTATTTATTTTTTTTTATATATATAAACTTAGTAATATATAGTTTCACATGTATGTACAAAGGACATGGGTCATTCAATGGCCTACATTTTTCAGTAGGTGTTTTATTGGATTCATTTAAGTGCCGGCAGTATTTTTTGAGAGGTGTTTAGGTTAGAATACGTTTTATTTAACTACAATTTTAAAAGATGTTTAGGTTAGAATTCGTTTTAACTACAATTTTAAATACAACTTTAAAATATTTTCACTGTTATTTTAATAGACTATTTTTTAAAGAAAAAACAAGTAAACGTAATAAAGACCTGATGCACTCCGTGCCACAAGCTCCCCAAACGACCCTCCGCAGGTTTTGAATTCAGAGTTGTCCTTCTTCTAGACCAGTTGCCATCCAAAGCTGTCCTGCTATTTACCCATAGCTGGAGGGAGAAGAAGATGAGTAATACCTTTCCTAAGGGCATTAGCACGTAAGTGAATGTAATGAATTCCTCAATCCGAACCGCTATCCACTACTCCACCGTGTGCCTCTCTCTCTCAATATATATATATATATATATATATATATATATATATATACTTTTTTTCATCGATATTACCACATGCAAGGCAGTAAAGCCACTAAGACTCAAGGGATTTCAGGATATGGAAGAATTAGGAACAGAACATCTGTTGTAATCTGTTCATATCAATGTATTGTTATAACGCACTCCCCGCGGTTATAATATTATGTCTCACTTAGGCTATTTGCCGTGACGTCATTAGAATTATCTCCGACTGACTCCAACAGACTAATACTTATTTTTGTAAAAATAAAAAAAAAGGGTGGAAAAGGCCAAAAGTGTGGATCAGGAAGTGCTGGTCATCACCTGTCTTATGTTAAACGTAGCCACAATCACTGACCCAAACAAAACTATACAATATTTCCGACATCAAAATTCCACATTCTTACTACAACCACCATAATACATCAAAGTCTTTATGAAGTCCTAACTAATCCTCCTATGGAAAATTTATCTGTGGGGGTGGGGAATAGCATAACAACATTTAAAAATGAAAATTCCAATGAATATTTATAATATGCTTAATAGTATATATACATGAAACTAAACAAAATGGTTTTAGTAATAAAAACCACAATCCTTAATTTTGGCAGAAATATCAGTTAACTGGACGAAATTAATGCGGAAGTTGGGTGAATTAAAAACAAATCATTCGACCAAACACAAGAACTGTGGTAATTGGATAGGTAACTTTTGGCCTTTGTTAAATACAGAGTTGAATATTTTAGTCAAGATCTTAGCCAGCCGTTTGCAGGTTGTCCTGTCAAGTTTGTTTGGCTCTGGGCAGACTGTGAAGGGTAGGACTATTCAAGACAACCTTCATTTGGTACGCTTGATCATCGAGCAAGTCGACAGTGAAGCCACGCTGATCAATTTAGATCAGTTCAAGGCTGATAGAGTTGATCGGCCGGTTTCGAGCCGTACTTTCGCACTTGGATCCAATTTCTGTACACCTCCCCCGATGCGCTGGTAGAAGCTTTTCGTCTTGTCACGCTTCATTCGTCAAGGTTATCCGCTTCTCTTTATGTCCTTATTGGAGCCTTTACTTTGCAAGTTAAAGGTGAATCCAGTCCCACTAGGAACGCGATGCGAAGTGTATTTTGACGAATCTCAACGCTAGGCATGTCCAGATCGCTTTCAAAAGGGTGAAGGTAACAGATCTCCAAGCATACCTTGAGAGCCTTGCCTCCCCACAAGAAGTAGAACAAGACCCTAAATAATTTAATTAATATGGCATACTGGAGTGGAAGCACGGGGAGTCGATAAAGGAGAATTGGATAGATATGCGAAGCACATACTTCCGCCTTCCCCTTTAAGAAAAGATTCCTCCGAGACTACAGACAAACTGTGCCCCCGACCTTCTGCCACACCTCCGACCAATTCCTTTCCAGCAAGAGATTGGGACCAAACCAAATGCCGAATATCATGACCAGCCCGTCCGTCCAGAGGAAAGCTCTGGAAGAGAAAGTCCCTTCCACGCGTCTCGCACCCTCTAAATCTATTTGCCGACTTCGTCATTCTTGGCTCTGCTTGACATAAGAATCGAAACGTCAACAGCATCGTTGTTCGTAGCTCTTGGCTCTCTCCAGGAACTCCGCCATGTTGATTATGCACTTCGGTGTGGATTTCCAGCAGGAGGGCGAATCCCAGGCCACTACATTTTCCTCTTTCCTTTTGCTGCTGTTGTTACTGGGTCAGTAGGCAAAACCTTTTCTTAATTTGGGCTATTATATTATATATAATCTATATTTCGTTTGAATCTATTTGGTCGTCAATTTTTTGTGGAATGGCTACATTTTCAGTAGTCACTGTTGATTGAGTATTTTTGTCTGTTTGTTTTTTTTTATCGGAGGGTCTTTCTTTTTTGCCCTGAGCAGGTCTTTTTTAATTGATAGATGTTTATCGGCCATTTTACTTACTTTAAATTACTTTTCTTTTTTTCCTTTTTTTTTTTTTTTTTTTTTTGTAGCGAAAAACAGGGAATTTTCGACAAAAATAAATAACAGAAAATCTTAAACAGATACAAAACAATAAAAAAAATTACAAAAACAAATAAACAAAATGACCGACCAAAGTTGGTTTAACGAAAGGGTTTTGACGCCAAAAACGTTATACAAGTTAAAACAAAGTCCTTCTCGTAAAGGAAATTAATTTAACAATAAAAAATAAAGAGAACAAAAAACAGACGAAAAAAAGTAAACGTCTGACATGAAAAATAAAAAAAATTAATTTACAGAAAAAACACAACTAAAAAGGTTTCCCTTCCATTTTTTTTTAAATTAAACCAACATAATAAACAAATTACGAAATAAATACTGCAAAAGAAAATTATAAAAATAGAGACACGTGTAAAAAAAAATATTACCAATTAAGCAAGATGGCGGACTAACACGTGAAGAAAAAAAAACAGATTAAACTAAAATTAAACTTGACTTGCGGCTGAGTGGGGACAAGTAAAATTAAGTGTAGGGCACAAAAAGAAGGAACACGTAAAAAATGAAAACCAAAATGACTAAGCAAAAAGAAAAAATATACGAAAAATATAAAATAAAATAAACTAAGTTCACGGACGGGAGAAAAAATAAAAGAAACTAAAAATTAAAATACAATATGCACAAAAAATAAATCAATAGACTAGTAAAACTAGATGTTACACTAGCAACAATTTTTTTAAAAAAAGACAGGGAAGGGTGAAAAAGAAAATTAAAAAAACTTCTAGAAAAAACAGTCAGTAAAAGAAACATACAAAATAAGAAACTTAACGTAAACTATGACTTCTTCCAACACAAAAATATGAGTTCTAATCGGTTAGTAACAAAATGAGACGAGATGGGACAGTTTAATGTGGGGAACTCGTGAGCGTACATCAGCCAGCGGACTACCTGACTGCGACAGATTGGCATTTACCGGTCGCCCCATTGCGACTAGATGCGACACATGGTCAAGTTTACTGTGGTAAACCTGAGCGTTTCCACACGGGCCACTAGTCAAAATTTACCCAAAATGGGCTCGGGTACAGAACTGGTCTGTTTTTCTCAGCCAAGTCTCTATCCGAAGACAAAACCCGACTGAGTCATCCTCCGGCCGAAGACTTGTCTTGTTTTGTTTTGACGCAAACCTGAGACAGACTGCGCCGGAATTCTACTGACTGACTATCAGTTCTTTATTTAAGGCGTCTTGCCTCGTTCATTTGTGTTACCGTGCGTGTCTTATTTACACCACAACATCTATCTCATTCTGCTGCTTCTTATCTAACTCTCTATATAATTCTGTCCATTATCAGTCGTAGTATGTTCATATCTATCTATCCATTTTTAATCGATATCACCCCATGCAAAGCAGTAAAGCCACTAAGACCCAAGGGGTTACAGTGTGTGAAAGAATTAGGAACAAAAATCTATTGTAATCTGTTCGTATCTATCTATCTATCTATCTATCGTAATATATTCATATCTATCTATCTATCGATCGATCGTAATCTATTCATATCTATCTGTCTATCTATCGCAATCTGTCCATATCTATCTATCTATCTATCTATCGTAATCTATTTATATCTATCTATATATCTGTCTATCTATCGTAATCTATTCATATCTATCTACCACTACTAGTAGACTAATCTTGTAATTCCACGTATTTCAAATGCATTTAAATTAAAATAGCTCAGTATAAATATCTATAAACTGCTTACACTTCACACGTATATCAATATATAAATACGCCGATCAATACGAAAATTGTTATTGATGATTTTAATATGAGCCAAAGATCGAGTGTATAAACATTTCACATTACACAGTATATGTGTGTGTGTGTGTTGTGCTTGTTTTTTATGTACTAGTATAACTTAACAAGCAATAAATATTAATTACAGGCTTTTACATCGCAGTCTGGCATAAGAACAATACAAGGAGAGCGGTTTGTACTGGTCATATAATATCAATACTTACATTGAGACAAAATCCGTTCATTCTAAAATAAAAAAAAGCCTTTCACCATAACAGTCCGTCCATCAAAAGGTGCAGGTGTGGCAATACAAAATGTACAAGTTGGCCATTGATAAACGTTGCCATCTTTCAAAACTACCCATAAAAATATGCATTTTAGTCTTTGTCAAATAGATAAATAGCACAAGTGTGATTTTTTGAAACTCGTCACACTGAAAAGATCAATGTAGTTAAATTTCGAACAAGAACTTGCTCCACATATCAACGATTAACAATCTCTACACCCAAACCTTTTTTAGTAAGATATTTTCTCATTGAATGACCCATTAAACTTGCCTTTGCTTAGTTGAGCTAACATTTATTAATTTGAAATGACAAGACATTTACTGATTTGCTTTCCAGGATTAATCAGCATTCTAAGATATAAATAGACATTGCAATGTGCATAGAAACAGTTCCTATATCAGTTCTTAGAGAAACAAAACTGCTATGACAGCTCTTGAGCAATGAAGCAGTTCCTATATCAGTTCCTAGATAGACGAAATTGTTATAACAGTTCCTTTGCAATGGAACAGTTCCTATATCAGTTCCTAGATAGACAAAACTGCTAGAGCACCTCGTGGGCAATGAAGCTGTCCCTATATCAGTTCCTAGATAAATAAAACTGCTATAGCAGTTCCTGTGCAATGAAGCAGACCCTATATCTGTTCCTAAATCAAAATTCCCCTAGCAGTTCCTGCGCAATGAAGCAGTTCCTGCGCAATGAAGCAGTTCCTATATCAGTTCCTAGATAGACAAAACTGCTATAGCAGCTCCTGCTCATTGGATCAGTTCTTATATCCATAGAGAGATGAAACTGCTATAGTCACAATATTTAAAAATAAAAGATATAAACACTTCCAATTCCTCGATGTATGGGTCATAACAGATTTAGGATCTTTTCTGTTAATTCACCCCAAATAATGTAAAGTTAGTAAAGTTAGTTATCGTAAATATTAATTCACCCCAAGAAATTATAAATTTTAAATCAAAATTTGTTTAGCTTGCCTCATAACAATTCCAGCTATCAGAATGAAAAATTACCAAAAATCAGGGAATTGTTAACAGTTAAAGTACGGAGGATATTCGAGGTGCTTACAAAGAATTTATACAAATTTTGAAAAAAGAGAAAAAAAATCTGATGTTGGCTTGTTTATCGGGGTGAGCGACAACCCACATTTGGAAATAGCGCCCCGAGTCGCCCACATTTTGGGTGATCGTAAAATTCAACCCAACCGGAGTGAAGTGAAAGGGTATCGCTCTGGGAAAATTCGGTATGAATTTTAGTAAATATAAATTCTTTTTATTTGGGGTGAATTAATATTTTGGGGTTAATTAAAAGAATGTTCCCACCTTTAGTAGAAGCAATAAACTTATTTTCCTGAAAAATAGTTTGAATAGAAAATTCATATAAATTTCAACAGATGGGAGCACTCACGTTTCAGTCAGTGAATGCTGAATTTTTCTATATAAGGAAACAGTTAATATTACTATTACCTTGTTTTCTCGTGAATGATTTGTTTTCAAATCCAAGCAGATTCATATGCGTAATATCGGTTCTAAGAAGCGGAGACAGTTTTAAAGTTGAAAACTAATTTTCATACAATCATCCGGAAGCCATTCAGAATAGAAACCAAATAATGAACCAAGGCGATCACATTTGCATAATTTCGTGGTGTTTTCTTCCATAGTAGATAATGATGGACTGAAGCGATCTTTTAAGCAAAATTTCAAGATGGTTTCTCCAAAACTAATTCAAGATGAGTTAAGGGCGATCTCATTTGCATAATTTCGGCATAGTTTCTGTATGAGTAGATCATGATGAGTCAAAGGTGATCTCATTTCCATAATTTGACCTCAACGTCCACAAACACACACACATATCCGCGCATATATATATATATATATATATATATATATATATATATATATAAGAAAAGAACAAATGGAATAAAATCCACAGTTCGTAGCATTTACTTTTAAAAAAGTGCTCAATACAAAGTCGAGCAAAATATTAATATATATATATATATATATATATATATATATATATATATATATATATAAAAGGTAATAAATCCGTTGGTATATAATCCAAGTGGATCCTAGTAATATCAAATATTAAAACTGGTCCACAAAAAGAGCTCATTGTATTTATAATTACAGAGCAAATAATTAATAAACAATAAAATCCAAAATAAAGAATCCAAAGGGGAATAGCCCATTTCGGCAGACGAAGATATCGGTCGTCTCTCTTATCAACCCCGGTGTGGACTGAGTTCGTGTCAGTAACAGAAATTTAACTGTGAAAGCTAAAAAAAAAAAAAGTAAATAGTCTTAGAGATAGGTGTGACTTATATTTAGAAGAAAAATAGAATACTAAAACACAAAAAACAAAGCCAACTATTTTATAAGAGGAATGAATTAGTGTTTAAATGTCGACATAAAAACAAGTTCAAATTTCCATGATATAGTTAATTAGCTTTATATTTCCATAATATTCACTCCCCTCTATCTCTTCAAATATCGAATGCATAACTAATTCTAACTCAGTATTTGTCTATATTTCTGAGATGAGGTATTATGTACACTATTTTATAAAATTTATTTATTTATAGGTTTTATAAAATTAAGCCCGAATATTAACCTTATGACATTAGTTTGAGGTTATAGGAAGAATTAAATATTAATTTAAAATTAAAAAAAGGAATAAAACGGGTTTAAATATAACTTTAAAATATATAGATAAAAAGATATAAGGGATTAATGGAAAGAGAGTTGGGGAGATCTCAGAGTAGGTGAAAATTTATAAATTATAATTAATACAGGTAAAGACGTTATAGAGTGGAAATATTAGAATTAGTTATAAATTCGACATTTGAAGAGTCAGAATTACACTATTTACATTGTTCGGACTATCGTCCTCATCTTTGTATAGTGTACTTTTATAGTCCCAGTAAACATAAATAGCTCTCTCAAAAAAGAGAGTAACGAAACAAGGGGAGACCACTCTTGATTATTCATAACATCTACTATGCTTGTTATTAATTTATAATTAATTTTTCATTAGGATTTATTTTAATCCCACCGAAAGGTTAACATTTATTTCTGATTATGCACTGTCTACACATTGTCGTAAATTAACGACCTGAATAAATACTGCCATCAAAAAGCACCTAAAAAAATTAAAATACCTATCAATAATTAATAAGGGTAGATCATAAGTTTTCAGAAAACAAAGTTTCATATTGTTCTTTTTACTTATCATAAAAGCTCAGTTCTAATTTGCCAAATGTATTTGCCGGAAATTCAGCATTTAGGAGGTTAATTTTCGTGACAGACGCTAGGGAATTCGCTTGAAAGAAAAAAACGGATAAAATAAACTCAACGAAATAATTAGAAGACTGAAGAAATAAATAGAGTGAAAAATGATATCAAATAAAACTAAACCATTTTTTTTTTTTATGCAGAGTCGTTCTGTTCTTCAAATAGCAAATCTCAGCGAGCCATTCGTTAATAAACACGTCACCAGGACTGAGTCAGGTGGATGCAGTTGGAATAAATGAAGAATCAATCACTGTTGAGTTTTATATTTGTTTGTTTGTTTGTTTATTTGTTTTATTACGTTGTTGTTGTTTTTTTCTACTTTTGACGATTGAAAAGTCTATTTATTCCAGAATTGTTTTTAAACACTTTATTTCGACTCTTGACATTTTTTTCATTTCTCTTTTTTTAATGACGTTTTATTTTGAGTACATTCCTCTTTCTTTTCTTTCTTTTTTTTTTTTTCTTAGTCTTTTCAATTGTTTCTGCTTATTTCTTTTCTTCTGTAACTTTTATTTCTTTATTCCCGGCTTCATTTTTTCCTCTTCTTTCATTTCCTCGGGTTTTCTTCTTTTCTTATTCCCTATATAAAGGGTTATTTCTATTTTGCAACTGTTTTCTTTCTTTATTTCTAACAGACTTCCTATTAGTTTTACACAGTTTTTCTTCTTTTTCTTCAAGTTCTTTTTCTCTCTCACACACACACACACACACACACACACACACACACTTATTCACCACACTTTCTTTCATATCTTTCTTATTTATCTCATCTTTCCTTTTTTTAATTGTTCCTTCCTTGTCGTGTCCCCTCGTTTTACTTAGGCACTATTTAAATATACTGGTCCACTTTTTTTTGTAGATTAGTATTCCTTTGACATTTTTCTGGCTAGAACATTTGTCAGAATAAAAATATATTTATTTTTTTTATCGATTTAGAAGGTGGGGTCCTGTTCATAATATCGATACAGTGTAAAATTGATCCCTGACTTTTTACAGAGTTATTGGACTTCAGTTTCAAACTATGCTGACATCGTTGATATTTGCACATATTTTTTTAATTTTCTGAATTTCTGAATACGTGCACAAATTATTATCTTACTTATAAGTATTTATCTTACTTTTTTATTTATTTTCCCTCTTTTTGCTTCGTTATTTATTTGTTTTTTTTTTGTTTTTTTTTTTTGTATAGGTGTATATAACACTAGTAATTTATACAACTGCAGAAATAAGATTAGATGTCCATTAAATGGAGCTTGTAAAACAGAAGCTATAATTTATAAAGCATAAATAACAGATATTAATGGCCAAAATAAAACGTACATAGGATGTACGGAAGGTTCTTTCAAACGTCGATGGTACAACCATAGATTGTCATTTAAGGTACCAATCTGAGGTACTCTACCAAATTAGCTAACCATGTGTGGAATTTAAAAGAAAAAACAACAGGGATCCGTTTGTGAGGTGGAAAATTTTAAAAATAGCAAAACATACAAGTATCACAATATTTGCAACCTCTGCCAACAGAAAAATTAGCGATTATGACATTTCCGGATCCAAAGAAACTTTTGAGCCATAAATCCGAAGTTTTAAATCCCTGTTTACATATCCTAAAAAAATTTTTCTTAAGTGCATATGAGGCAGGATAAAAAAAAGTATTTAACCCCCTCCACCAATACATTTACAATACACTTTCTTTTCTTCTATTTCCCCTTTTTCTTTTTCCTTTTTCACATCCTCCTCCTCCCTTTCTATTACACCCAACATCGTGCATTTTTTAATTTATTTTTGAAAACAATAATGTAGCGTTCTTTAGGTTTTTAAAAAAATAAAATACGTTAGGTGGTCATTTGATAAAAATCGCCTGAGTATGCCGTAAGGTTGAAACCAAGGTAACGGATTCAACTGACCTCCTGATTTTTAAAGATATATATATATATATATATATATATATATATATATATATATATATATATAATACGTTAGGTGGTCATTTGCCTGAGGATACCGTAACAGATTCAACCGACCTCCTGATTTTTAAAGTTAAAAGCTCTACATGTTATTTTTACTTTTATTTTATTTTTTCACACGTGTATTGAGCCCTTTATAATACTAGTTTCCTGGTCTGATTCAACTCTAACCATTAACCTTTTATGTATTATATATATATATATATATATATAGAGAGAGAGAGAGAGAGAGATAATATATCGTCCTTTCCTTCTTTACTTTTAAACAATCCGTTATTGATTTTAATTTCAGACTTGCTCTAATACCCGTATCTAAATGTAGAAAATGTCTACTTCCTTCATGTGCCGTGTCCCTTCAGAAAGTAGGCAACCATGGCTCTCCACATTTTCCTGTCCCTTGTAGCTCTTAATAAGTTTTGTTTTTTTTTTTGTTTATTTTTCCAAACCCTGTTCTACCAACCATTTACTCAAGCCCATCAAGTATGTCACGCACTGCTTTCCTCTGTCCCAACTTCTTTCAATCTGTCCCTGTGTGTATCAGATTTTCGAAGCTATCCTTCCTCATTACTCGTACCAGAAATTTCAACTACTTCTTCCTGATGTTAAATATTAGTTTCCTTTTTGTTTCCATTTTCTCCATAACCTTGTTGTTGCTCACATGTTCAGTTCATGGCATCCTCAGCATCCTTCTTAGAACCACATTTCTTTTGCTGTAAATCTCTTTTTCATCTCTGACGAGATTGTCCAGAATTCGCTGCTATACAGGTGGACAGATATCACGTGACTGCTCACTGGTCAATTTAATTTTGTGTGGCGTCTTTTAAGAAGAGGAATTCTCCATGCGTATTTTTTATTTCGAATTTCTACCTATATTTTATTGCCGTAGAACTCACCATGCAGAAAATGAGATCAAGCGATGTTCTGATGGTAAAGTTGAATAAAAACTGAGAAGGATATATAATAAAAGAATTATATATATAAAGAAAAGTTATATAAAGATTATAATTTATTATATAAATTAACTTAATATATTAATAATAAATAATAATATTAATTTTAAATATTAATAAGGTAAAATATTAATATATTAATATAAATTAATTAATATAAAATACCAAATAAGTATATTAATAATAAATTCTTTCATTCATTTCATTCATTTCTTTCATTTCCATGTCTTTCAGGACGTATGCGATCATGGCTCTCCATCTCACTCTATCCCTTGCAGTTCTCAACAAGTTCCATCTCTCTGCCACCTCCCCCAGATCACGTTCCGTCATCCACTTGCTTAAGCCCGCTAGGTATGTCATGGGTTGTTTTCCCTTGTCTCTCTTTCTCTCTATTCGACCCGTGAGTATTAGATTCTCCAGGCCCTCCTTCCTCATTATGTGTCCCAGAAACTTCAGCTGCCTCTTCCTGATGTTAAGTATAAGCCTTCTCCTTGTTTGCATCCTCTCTAAGACCTCATCGTTGTTCACGGGCTCGGTCCATGATAGCCTTAGCATAAAATTAACAGATAAATTATATAAGAATTATGTATACAGGAAGCATATACATTTACTATTTTTATAATGCAATTCTTAAATTTATCTATTAGTAAAAAATAAAATAAGCTTCTTTTTCATTGAATAGTTATGGTGATGCAATAAAAAAAATTAAGAGTAAAAGTGGTCCATGGGTAAAAAAATGGTTAAGAACAACTAACCTAGAGGTAGAGTTTTCCCAGGCCTTTTTGCATTATTTTGGCCTTCTTCAATGTGTGTTTGATGCAATTTTTATACCTAAACATACGTATATGGTAACAGTAATAGTAAAGGTTTCCTTATAAGGAAACAGTCAAAATTCATTAACTGAGCAGCCAGTACTATTGTCGGTTGAATTTTTTTAAAGTCTTTCATTTTTTTTTTTCATGAAAATAGGTTTCTCAAGTCCAGTAGCTGTTATAGCTCTTTCCATTATTGATGGGAGTTTTCTTCCTAACCTTTTCTTTTAAGTAGTGTGGAAGATCAACATCATGATTATGTCATTATTTTCTCTTCTCAAGTCCAGTAGATGTTATAGCTCTTTCCAGTAGTGATGGGGGTTTCCTTCCTAACATCATTTGTCATTATTCTCTCTTCGATTTAATTATGCTAACCATTTTACTGATTGCAGTTTTTGAAAGCCCTCAAGTGATGTGGTTTCTATTATTTGGTACAGTTCTTTGCTTGTGATTTTATTGCGCCAGTCCACGAGATTCGAAAAAGAATCTTCGTTAAGACCTACAGGCTTCATTCTTCTAAGCCTCCTTTAACCGTCGATCTGAGAACGCAGTTGTATACGAATGACATTTTAAATATTTCTGAACAAGTTTAGCCCCATGCATGGCATTCATATCAAAGTCTCGATCTAAGAAGACTCTTTAAGAATACGACTCGATTTTTAGGGCAACGTTTTAGCTTTGTAGAAACTGGTGGTGTTGGGCGAAACTACCCCTATGATAGCTTATGTTCTATCCTATGTTCAATTTCCTCATCTCCTATGGTAAGCAACACTCTACACCTTCCTGGCCTCACGTTTTCCACTGGCATGAATTGGAGTGACTATAGCGAATCAATTGCTATGTCTACTGCAAGAAATGTTACTTCACTGTGTCGTGCCAAAAAAAAAAATTCTCTGCAGAATCCGTCTTGCACATTTACAAATCTACCATTCGTTCGTGTATTGAAGACTGTTGCCATATCTGGTCCGCTGCTTCTACTGTACATCTTGAGATTTTTAACAAAAGCCAAGAAAGGGTTTGCAATATAATCAATCCTAACCAGTCATCTCTAATCATTTTCTCATCGACATAACGTGGCTTCCCTCTGCATGTTCTACAAATATTTTCATGGTAATATCTCGGATGAACTTTTTTCCTGGTTCCCCGACTACATGAATTTAAATGCGCTACTAGATTGGCAATTAGGTCTCACTATTTTACTGTTAAACTAAATAGATGCAGCCGCTAATTCTACTCCCTTCCAATTTCTTGGTTCCCTGATAAATACAATCTTCAAACATTTAAATGCAACACCAATCGCCATTTCTGTCTTCTTGAAGTATATTCCTTTTTGCCCTTTCCTAAACCCTCCCTCCATTTTCAATCTTCTCATTTTCACTCCCTGTAAACCTGCTGCGTTTTAGTGGCATTGTCGCCTTGCTTGGGGTGAAATGATTCATAAAATGAAACCTTAAAACATAACTCATCCATACACCGAGATATTTGAAGCGTTTAGTATTTACTAATTTCACATCTTGAATTTTAATGATAGATTTTAAGTAACGGTCGACGCATACATAAATACATACATACATATATACATGCATATTAATATATACGTAAAGGCAGAAAGACCGATGTTAAAGCGAGGCAAGACTTAAATTTGTTAATCTATTGTGTGTTGAGTGTTTTGTGTTTCTGTCATATTTTGTACTTATCAAAAGATATGAAATAATGAGTCATTCTAAATGGTAGATGATTGATCTTTAGATTTTTTTTTTCAACCAATTGAGTTCAAGAGCGTTTTATTTTTAGACGCTGAGCATATTTCTTGACTTGGACGCCGAACAACACGAAGCTAATCTTATGACGCAACAAATGGTGGCATCTTAAGAGGACGAGTGTGAGCAGGACAGGAAATTAATCCTGGTCAACAAGAGTTACTTCCCCTGATCTTTTTCCTTACTTTCTTTCTGGATTTGAATGGCTATTGACCCTTTGATGCAGACGTGCATACACTTATCACACTACCACGCAACACTGATGAACTCGCTTTCTTGCAATACACGCTTAAATATTGCCACGAAAACATGGACATACAAATTAGCCTACACACATGCGCAAACGTTCATTTACGTTAATTCCGTGTACACATTTAAATGATGCCTCTGTGTGTGTGTGTGTCTGTGTGTGTGTGTGTGTGTGTCTGTGTGTGTGTGTGTGTGTGTTTGTGTTCGTGTTTTGGATTTAGAGAATCGCGCATATACATGCTCACATGCAATATATAAGCACAAAGGATACGGATTTTGTCCAAAAAGTATTTCGCCATCCAACAGTAACGAAAAATAGCCTACCTAGGGTAAAGGCGTCTTAGTATTCATCAAATTAGTCAGAAACTTATCCAAACGTCTCTTTTACTCTTCAAAACCTTCTGCAACGTCCTCTTTCGGAATCGCTATCAGCTGCCTCGTTGCGTTCCCGTTAATCTCGTCCATTAAGCAACAACAATGATTTTAGCTTTGGGAAATGTTGAAATCTCATGGAGCAAAATATAAATTATAGAGGGGTGATGCGTCTTTTTTTTTTGCAAAAATACAAAACAGTACGGAACGTAAA